CTATTTTTTTTTAAGGTATTTTATAATTAGAATCTAATGGTAACCAATTATTTCATAAGCCTTTTTACATCATCCCAACCTTTAGAAATCAATCTTTATCTTAAAATTATATATGATCGTCTCTGGATTCAAGACATGTTTTACGTACGTAAGTCAAACCCAAAACTCCCTAATAATGAAATTAGTTCTTAGTTAAGATCACTTAGAAATTAATTCAAAATCTTTAAAATTCCGAGCAGAAAAAGTAATTATTTTCAATTTAACTCTACAAAACTTGTGATGATTGAAAATATTCTCATTTATTTAAAACACACAATGTTTCCTGTACAAATAAAAATAATTTTCTAAAAACATCAAAGTATTCATATCTTTTCAAACTCATCTCGCACTACCATCCTCTTTAAACATTAGTTTCGTGTTCTATCTATCACATTTACGTATTAATATATGGAACTAAAAATTCAAAATTAAGAAATACTTCCTTTTAAGTGCAAGAGACTTGTTTTTGAAATAAAGAACAAAACAAGTACCTGCTAAAAGAAACTATTCCCATTCATTTGGATAAAAATATTTTGTTTCTCTCCTTACCAAATATAACATATAAAGAGCATAAACTGATTTCCGAGTCTTTCCAGTTTAGCCTTTTATTGTTTTTTTTTGACAAGTTAATTCACCCATTCATTCACCAGTGCCTCCCCTGTGAACCACCACCTTTGTTCTTTGCAAAGAAAGCATTCTTGGGTTTTGGTATCTCATGAATATCCATCACTTGGATCGTTCTTTGCCTTTTGGCTTCATAAAGAACACAAAAAAACATAACATAATAATTAGTACAACTTCCCCAAAATCACACAGACTAAAATTATGATAAAGATATCAAATAAAAGAGTATAAAACCATTTTCCGCTTCTTTGTAGTTCTCCTGAAGCCGCCTTCTTGCCGAAGCTAACTTTTCAGAATCAAACGTGCTTTCTTTTTGTTCTCTTTGTCTCTGCAGATCAAGGGAACTTTATTAGAAATAAGTATCACCATTATCTGCAACTTTAATCTGATGGACACCGATTGCCAACCAAATTGTTCTTGAAGGCATTAACTTCAAGATTTCATGTCAAAACTCCATAAGGAAATAATACAGAAGTGGAGAACAATATGGTGTGTGTGTGATACCTGCATATGTGGGGACGCTGGAGTAGATTGAGTTGATTTAACCGAGGCTAGAGGTCCTTTTCGAGGAGGAAGTGATTTCAGCTTCCTTTCTGGTTCAGAATTATTCTTGTCTGACCCAGAACTGCCATCTATTCGCCCCAAAAGCAAAAGAGAAGAAGACAGCAGATTATCAAATGTTTGCCTATGAACTAAGATCAAATCCAAACTCAAATCTTATTCTCTGTACTCACTATGAGGATTCGGGGAGTAGACAAAATCAGGAATCTGCAAAAGAAGAAAATCTTAGGGGAAAATTTGAGGAAGTTTTCAATAAAATTTCCAGGAATATTCTGCTGCTAAAAGATTTGTTGCACCTGCTGCTGATGACCATTTTGTGGAATTTTTTGCTGGGGAGAGTCTTCATCAGCTGCCAACATCATTAATTTCACATTCGTTATTAACTCTTTGTTTTTGCTCGAGAAACTTTTCTCAGGAAATGAAAAGGAAAACAAATAATTGTACTAAGATAATAATATGTTGGTACCCATCAGCGCAGAGGACTCCACTTCTCCAGGTCGATTCACTTTCACCCATTCATCCACAATCACTTTCCATTTCCTGCAAAACAAACTAGAAATAGAATCCCTTGCAAAAGCTATTTACAGGTCACAAACACATAAAAGACTCATCGAGAATTTTTTAAAAAAATTTTACAAACAAATAAAGTAAAAGTAAATTTGGTTCTATAAAAACCTAACAAGTTGCTTCACTAATCTCCTAACATCACTCGATGAATGCTTTCGCAGACTGTTGACATGCCTCCCAATATCAGTGTCCTGGAATGAAAACCAGAATAGAGAAATATATAACAAAAGAAAAAATTAAAAGAAATAGAAGAATAAAAGAGAAAAATTGTTTTCCAAGATACTTGGAGGGCCTTGAACGTAACATCCATATCTGCCAAACTCTGAAGCAAATCAACCAGAGAATCTTCAGACTGAATATACACAAGCACCAGAAAATATACACATTAGGAGACTAACAAGTTAATAAAGTTCAAACTCCAGTTAAAAAAGTGAAATTCACTGAACCAACACAAAACAAAAATAGAAAAATAAATTAACCTGGTCAGGATCTTCAAGATGCTCGATAATCTCCAGTATCCTCTTCTGCTCATCATCAAACAAGCCCCCATATGGGTCCAACCCATCATCCTCTCCATTCATCGATTGTGGAGTAGAAGGAGACCCTCCTTTCCCGCTTTTGGTTTCTTGGTTCTTTTCTTCGTCAACTGAAGCCTTAACCTCATACCCATTATGCCTGCCATCGCCAAAATCACAGTTCCTACACCGAGTAACCATAGACGTTGCGTAAAGCCTCTCCACAATATTATCTCTTCGCTGCTTCAATTCTTGTCCATAATCCAACGATGCCACCAAAATTGCCGTGTCGATGAAAGTCCACACATCAATGCCTGCAGTATCTAAGATGGACCGAAAATCATCTCAATCCATATTTACCAGACTATTCAGGATCTTCCTTTCCTTCTTTCAGTGCTTGTATCGAAAAGCTTGCTGTTTTTATTAAATGCTTAAGGATGATGAAATATGTCCAACCAAATTGGAAATGCAGAACAAAGACAATTCTGATGATTGCATAAGCAGATCTAGTAACATATTCGGATATCGTACCCTCCGATCAATGGAACCTGACCAACAAAGAAAACAAAAGAAGACCATAATGATCAGGGCTTGAAAAGGATACACTTGTGACTCAAATTTTGGCAATCAAAAGCAGGCAATATTGTGATTATTTGTAATTAAAAAAAAAATTGAAATATACAAAATATGGTTATAGAGGAGAAAACCATCAGAAAATCCCTGGTTGTCCACTATAGGACGAAGGGCAAAAAAGTCATTTCACCCATGGAAGGCAAAATGGTAAAATCGTCTGAACAGATTAGGGTTAGGGTTGACTCACCGAACCAACCATAACCATTACAGCAGATCCCACGGGCGTTGCTGCAACCAAAAATGGCCAAGCAAGTCCCACCTCAGTCACTGTGAGACCTTTAACGCTCATAAGCCCATAAATAGGCCCATTTGTATGAATGCAGAGGCATTGAAGAAATAAAACAAAATTTACCCCAGAATCTCTCTTCTTCCTCTCCGTTCCTTCTCTCTTCTTTTTTCTCATATCAAACAGCCATGAGTAAGACTTCTGACAAAAACCCTATAACATGTGAAAGTCTCACTAATAACTTACAACCCAAAGCTCCAACCACCCAACGTCCGTGAATGCAGAAGAAGCAAAAAATGAACATGAAGAAGAATATAACAGTAATCATACAAGACTGTGGTCTATGGTGCTAAATATCATAATCAAGATTAAGCAATGAAATTCTGGATCAACAGAAGCAATACAAATACTCACCTAAAATCACCAAAGGCAGTGAATTTTATTCATTTGATAGAAAGTTGGCAAATGATTAAATCAAGTAAGCCATGAAATTAACAAGTTATATACTAGTCAACACCAAAAATAATGCAAAGGGAATAAAACCACTTTAAAATCATAAAAAAGAATGGCATAAACTAGGAAAGAAATTAAATAGAACTGCTTAGAGAATCCAACTTAAAATCCGAGCAATGAGAATCAAATCCGAAATCCAATCCAACTTAAAATCCGAGCAATTAGAATCAAATCGTAAATCCGATAGACTAATAATTAAAAAAATCAACAAAACATCAATGCTTCTTTCTTTTAAAGTAAAAACATCACGATTTAACTAGGAAAGGAAACATTGATCCAGCCAAAAAACTATAAAATAGAACTTTAAAGTAAAAAAATCATAACATGAAAATCCTTCAGTTGTCTCTCAACCTCTCATCATGATCCAAACTAATTCTCCATTCAACAATATATCCAAGCCCTTACAAATACCATCTGCTAACACAGAAACAAAAGACTAAAAACTAACAGCTGCAAGCAAAATAACCGTACTCAATCTGCGGGGAATCGATGACAGCAAGATAGTAACCTACTAAAGACATCAGCAAAGAGATATGCCAAACTTCACACCAGCTGCAAACTAATATTTGAAAGCAGATTGATTCCAGCATCAAAACGTTAGACATGATTATTCAAGTAATTAAAATTTCAACAATTAGATTCAATTCATCCGATCACAAACAAATTATTCAAGCAACAAGTTCACATCATAGAAATTCACTCCGAAAATTATTCCAAAACAATCAAAACCCTGATATTAAAAAAAAAAAAAAAAGTATGAGACAAAAAAGGTGAATAGCATTTACCTCAATATTCCCCGGTTCTGTACACAACAACCAGAAAAGGAAAGGCAAGAACCCGCGAACTCGGTAATCGTGAGAGAGGATCGATTAGTAATGAAAAGAGGCGGCCCAATTATGGTGTGGATATGGCGCGAATTGATGTCTGGATTTGAGGCAAAAGATCTCTTGTTAATATTATTGGTTTCAGCTCCGGCGAAGTTGGGGAGAAAAGGTTGTATCAGGTATCGGCTCGTGCGGGTAACTGGTGCATTGACCAGATCTGGAAGAGAAGAGGAAGCACAGAAATTTCAGAGAATCTTGCGATTGGACGAAGAGAGAGAGTTCTGGTTTGGAGGTGGTGTGCGCTTTCCTGCTCTGGACGAACCGAAAGCCTGAACCGTGCGTGGGGCGCGTGGGAAAAGGGGGGGGGGGGGGGGTGAGGTATCCACTTGATGATGTCAGAGAATAAAAGAATATAATGGGTGAAAAGGCCAAAGGGAAAAACGAGGGACAATAATAATAAATAATTTTATTATTTTGTATGGAGTGATGATTGATTATTTAATTAAAACGATAGTTCTCTATTTTCTTACATTGTATTAAATTAATATAATAATTGATAACATCTATTGAAGTCATTTAAAATTATTAGATTTTTTTTTTACTTATAAAAGATAAAATAGTCTCTTTAATATTTAATTTTTCTCTAATTTTGGCCAAATTAGGCTTCCCTAATCTTATCTTCTAATTCAAACACACATTCAATTTGAATATTATTATTTTTTAATGTATAAATTTTTCAAGTTCAGCTTTTGTACAACCATCTTTTTGGAGAACCCAAATAATGACATTTTCGTTTGTGATGATCATTTTGATATTTACAACCGTCAAAACAAAAATACGAAGAATGCATGCATAACCTAGTAAAATATTATACTTTATGATACCATAATATAGGAACAAGTCATTGTAGAATTCATAATAATTATGTTAAGAGCCCATTTAAAAATGTGTCATCAGACTAAACCTAATCTATCCAATCTATTAGTTGTAAAACAAGGTAGAGTTTTGTTTTATTTTTTTTCAACTTAAATGTGTCATGACATCCATTTCATTAAGACAAAAGAGAAACACATAAAAGACTACTAAATTAAGTTAAAATAAATATTCACTAGTATTTAGTGATAAATCTAATAGTAGGCTTGACAAGTATTGACAACCCATTTTCTCGCAACTATTAAGGATATTATTAATGCTTAATCATACAATACTAACAGTACAAACTATTTTAAGCACTTTTTTTTTTATTTTAACATAAGAAATGGATACATTTATGGAAAAATACGTAAAATAATCTTGAAATGAAAAAAGAATTATATAATTTTTATATAGAATTTGAAACATCAAGAAAAGAACTTGTATATACAAAAATAATTTTACTGATTAACTATCGAAGAAATGATTTTTTTTAAAAAAACATTCATTAAAGTTCCTAATCTCATGTTCCAAAAGCCAAAGCTCAAGGGCACCAATTATTACCTACCATAACAATACTAAGATGGGCTCGGATCATTAGAACCCACTGAAGAACTCTGTTGGCCAACTAGATATTATGATTACTACCTTTACTGAAATCTATGCATATTTTTATATCTTAAGAAAGATTACTACTATACAGACACAGACTTGATTGTCCTTGGTTAGTCATTATATAAATAAGAGAGTTCATCTTCTATCTTAGATAAATTTAAGCTAGAGGGCAGAGTCATGAAATGATATCTTTTAGCACAAAAATCTTATTTCAACTTCTCAACAGATGTCACTAATGCACTTAAGTACAAAGGACAAGTGAAAAACTAAGTTTATCTAGAATGGTTTGAGTCATAATATGTGGATCCATCTCATACAGAACTGGTATCGGTGGAAGCCAACTTTCAAATTGATTGAAACACTCTTAATATCATTAAGAAAGACACATTAACCAGACTTAAGATTAAGCTGGGACCAATAAGATACCAATATATCATAAAGACTTCTAAGTGGATATTGATCCAACTGATATCAAATGCTTATTTAGCTAGTGAAATAAACCTATCGACCAATATTGACTAAATCCTTTATTTATCATGTTTGTTTTCCATTTCTCAATAATTGACTCTTTTCTAAAGAAAATATAGTTATATCCCTAAATAGTGGACATTTATATGTATATATATATCTATTTAATTGGCTTGGATATAGCCTTTCTTACTCATGTGATATTCTTGTGGCACCTAGATAGGATAACCTATCACTATGGCCATTAAAAGGTTAAAAAGGGTAGCAAAAAGTAATATAGAGCCTCGTTATTAGCCTTCTTATGATTTGGTCCTCAATGAGGAAACCTATCAATGTAGGATGAAAAAAACTTAGTGAAACTTTATCAAGAACAAAACTTATAAATATCATATATCATAATAAAGGCAATATCTTAATATTTAAATAATAATCACGAGTAATCTCCCTAAACCAAGCTAAGTACTTTTTATATAGGCACCAAATGTCAAAAGCAGAAAATCTAATAAACCTAATAAATGGAAAAATAAGTTAAATAGAAAGAATTAGATAAATAAGAAATTTAGGAAATAGGAGAGTAAATTTTCTTATTTTTCTTTGTTGTAAACCTTTCTAAAATTTATAAAAGAAGTTAAATCTTTTTTATTCCTTTTAGTTAATTTCTCAAAATATCTATGCTCTTTTATTAGTTCTGCATCATATATCTTATAATTATCAATGAGGAATCCTACTGATGTAGGACAAAGAATGTTGAAGGACAAAACTTCGTAAAACTTTATTAAAAACGAAGATGAAGATTCTATATCTTAATTAATCAAGACAATATCTCAATATTTGAATAATAATCTTAAATAATCCCCCTAAATTTAGCTATGTACCTTATATATAGACACTAAACATAAAAAATAAAAAATTTAAAAAAATTGGTAAATAAAAAATAAGTTAAGTAAAAAGAATTAGAAAAATATGAAATTTAGGAAATAGGAAAAAAAAATTATTTTTGGTTATTATAAAATTTTTTAAAACTTAAAAAACAAAATTAAATCTTTTTATTCTTTTTAGTTAATTTCGTAAAATTAATATTTTTGTTGTTGGTTCTGCATCATATCTCCTATTATTGAAATATTTCCATTTAAGAGTTTTTTATTCTACATTATTTTCTAACATTTGGTAAAAACATGAGCTCAAGTTTTGAAACGGTGAAGTAGAAATGATATTAAAATCAAAACTTGTCTTCTTAATAATTGATACTTGCATAACTTGAAATTGTAATGAGAAAACATGAATGCTTCAAAAATCAAGAGTTTTGAAGATGTAGTGAACCAATTAAGAAAGACAAAATCTATAAAAGCAAGCACAACAATTTTTTTCTCGTTGCTGTTAAAAGAAATAATATGGGGTA